TATTTCACTTCCTTTATCGCACTGTTGTTTTGAGGGAGGATGACGAAAACGAGATACCCATAATTGCTGATAAGTATGCTTTTGGATAAAATCGCGCCGATGATGTACAGACATTGCTTCAAATTCCCAAACACTGAAGAGATAAGGAGTTAGTCCCTAGTTAACCACTTCGAGCCTAGAAGTAGGAGTTTCCTTCGGATTTCTAAACCCTTATACTTAACCTGGGGCATGGGTAGTATTCAGTTAACTTGATTACGCACTCGAATCACGAAAGAAAACCCAAATACAAGATGGTTGTTCATCAATAACCCTTGACATGGCAGTCACCATCTTTCAAAAAATTCAAAGGCCTGCTAAGTCGAACACTTCAAAATGAGACTTAGGCAAAAATCAAGGCAATCCCGATGGATCTGACAAACAAAGTCAGTCCATGCAAAAGTTAGGGATCAAAAACAAAACCAAAAGAGGTCCTCAAACCCTCAACAAAAACAAAATAAGATTCAGTGGCCACCCAAATCAAGGGGTTACTGACATCCATCAAAATAAGATGGCTTCCATTTCAAGCAAACTTTGAACCATCAAGTTTACACCGTCAAGCAGGTGTGAAATTAATTGAACGTAGGTATGGAGATCATTACGAAGAAGGGGTGGGTACAAATAATACTTTGAGCCTAATATCCTTTATTTCTATAACCGTGAACCAGACCACGTTACAACCCTCGAAAGACCTAATTGAGGCGAGGTTTATTCTGAAAGCATACTACAACAAGATTGCGTAAACTGACTCCTACATATTTGCCAATTTTATGTATTGGTGTCATATTCTTGCTATATCTTTCACACCAATTAAATCAGCATTGCGTTTGGATTAATAGTCCACTCGTCACACATTTTCACATCATTCCCAATAATTGATATTTTCAAAACTTACATGAATGTCGCATTAAAATTACCATTTTTGAATGAACAATTTTAAACTGCAAATCAGTACTTGACATTATAGAAATTCCAACAAAGTGCAGTCAAAGAGGAACTTGATCGCTCATTGGTGTTGACCTGAATCAAGACTTTCTCATAACCCTACGAATCTGGGGCAAGTCCTTTTGAAGTTTAAACCGGGGCAGACCACTACAAGGTCCAGACACTGGGGCAAATGGGTTCAAGCCATATCCTGGTATAATCATCGCCAAAGTTCTCATCCCAGAAGAAAATCCTTCAAATACCCCACAGACTGGGGCAGACCATTTGAACTGGGGCAGATTAGCTGAACAGGGGCAATTTCCCTTCACGCTTTCAAAGTTGATCAAGATGACCACACCAGACACCAGTAATGGTTAGGGTCCATAAACGTCAAAAACCTCGGGGCAGAGCAAAAGCATGACTAACACGCATTGGTTAAGTCGCTACGCTCACGCAATCCATACGCATTGGTTAAGTCGCTACGCTAGCATGACTAACACGCATTGGTTAAGTTGCTACGCTCGCGCAGTCAACATGCTTTGGATAAGTCACTACGCTCAACATTTGTAAGCTGTCATGACGTATCGGCTAGGAGCGAGGTTCTTACAAGAACAAGAATACCACTTCTGCAAAGGATCCAACTTGGAGCACCAAGTGTATCCACATCTGTCTTCTGATTGTGGCGCGGTCATATACCATGTGTCGGGAAGTCAAATCCTTTTACCAATAAAAGTCCGATCTCGCTTGGCACGTCCTTAAAGTCCAATCTTTTATTGGCAACTACAAAAAAGCCACTCCAATTGGCACCTTCAATTCACCCTAAAAGTCCAGTCTTCATTGGCAACCACCAAAAGTCCACCCTCGATGGCATCTTATAAAACCCAAAGTCCAAACCCTTTGGCAACTACCGAATCCAGTCCCTGGTGATATCCCCGACAAGATTTTATCCCCAGCATACCTGATCATTTGCATTATCATAAGCACGATATACAATACAATATCATATCATAATCATATTAAGAATTAGCACATCACTTGCATCTGCATCCTGCACTCTCTAGAAATTGTATCTTAGTTGCATGTTTATGTATCATAACGCATATCATCGCCATCACCATTAACATGGCATAACAACATAGCAGGATCCAGGATCAGTTTGTAAACATCTTGGCCAGTCCTCCGGTGAAGTTGGCAGTAGTGAATCTGAAAAGAGTTGTTACTCCGCGAGTTCAGGGAATTCTAATCTCCAGCAAGTCACGCAGTTGATAATGATAGTCCCCGATGACCGTTGCTCTTATGGCTCCCCAAGCAGAGGTTATCTTAAAAAGTTTCTTGAAGAATTTATCGCTCGAGATACTGCTTTGGTATCATCGAAGAATCTTATTGGATAAGAGGCTGCTTCGACCACCCGAAGAATCTCAAGTTTTGTTAGAGATACTGCTTTGGTATCATCGAAGAATCTTATTGGATAAGATGCTGCTCCGACCACCCGAAGAATCTCAAGTTTTGATCAGAGATACTGCTTTGGTATCATCGAAGAATCTTATTGGATAAGGTGCTTCTTCGACCACCCGAAGAATCTCAAGTTTTGATCAGAGATACTGCTTTGGTATCATCGAAGAATCTTATTGGATAAGATGCTGCTTCGACCACCCGAAGAATCTCAAGTTTTGATCAGAGATACTACTTTGGTATCATCGAAGGACCTTAACGAATGAGGGGCCGTTTCGACCACCCAAGGAGGATTATTTATACCACTTTGGTATCATCGGAGGACCTTAACGAATGAGGGGCCACTTCGACCACCCAAGGAGGATTGTTTATACCACTTTGGTATCATCGAAGGACCTTAACGAATGAGGGGCCGCTTCGACCACCCAAGGAGGATTGTTTATACCACTTTGGTTTCATCGGAGGACCTTAACGAATGAGGGGCCGCTTCGACCACCCAAGGAGGATTGTTTATACCACTTTGGTATCATCGAAGGACCTTAACGAATGAGGGGCCGCTTCGACCACCCAAGGAGGATTGTTTATACCACTTTGGTTTCATCGGAGGACCTTAACGAATGAGGGGCCGCTTCGACCACCCAAGGAGGATTGTTTATACCACTTTGGTATCATCGAAGGACCTGAACGAATGAGGGGCAACTTTGACCACCCAAGGAGGATTGTTTATACCACTTTGGTATCATCGGAGGACCTTAACGAATGAGGGGCCGCTTCGACCACCCAAGGAGGATTGTTTATACCACTTTGGTATCATCGGAGAACCTTATTGGATAAGGGACTGCTTCGACCACCCAGCGAATATCAGGTTATCTCGTTCATATTTTGCATCCTGCCACCCTGGTATGGTACATCTTATCTCTCTGCATTTTACTTGTTTGTCGGACAAATTTTGGGGTATTCTTGTATCTAATTGACTTTCCCCTCAAAATGAACACCATGCAGCAGTTCATGCTTTCGGGTCAAAGACAATTAGATAGGGGCATCTGTCATACCCCAAATTTGTCCTACCTTTTTGAAAATTTTTATTAGCCCAACTTTATTTTTTCAATTTGCATTGCGTGTACAACTTAACGTATTTTTCACTTTTTGTCCAATAAATTTGTGACACGTGGCATTATTTGTAGTTATCTTTATTTATTAATTAGATTAATTAAAATTTACATTAGGTTTTAGGATTAAATTAATTAGAATCTAAGTTAGATCTAGAATAATTTAGTTTAGAATAAATTAATTAGAATTAGTATAGTTTAGTTTAAAATAGAAAGGTTTTAAAATAAGAGAAAAAGAAAACAGAATTAATTAGAAAGAAATAAAAGAAAAGGAAGAGAGAGGCGGGAGGAAAATTAAATTAGGGTTATCGTTTGGATGTATAAAGGGGATTCGTTACTGTTCATGAGGGGAGGACCGGGCCGTCAAACCCTAACGGCAAATCCTTTCTCTTCTCCCAGTTGCCGAAACACTCGAGTAACCACTCTCTCAATCTTCCTCTCCGACCATTTGCTGAAAATCTCTTCTCTTTCTCCCAGCCGACAAACCCTTTCGCATCATCTTCTTCTTTCCATTTTTCCTTTCCCCCTCCGAAAAGATCATCGTCGGTCACTCTTTATCCTTCCTCCCTCGAGCTTCATCATCTTAACCCTCACATTCATCTTCTCCCTCAGCTAACCCTCATCTCCCTTTGCCGGAAATCAACCCACACAAACCACCATAACCAACCACCGCTAACCTCCATTTTCATCACTCCCAGAAACTCGCACCTTCATCTATTCAACCACTTAGGGTTATATACATGGGTAAGAAAAACAAAACAAGGAATGAAAATGGTGACGACACCTTAAAACAATCCCCCTTGACTCTCTTTGTTTCCAACTTACCCTACTCCTTTACAAACCCTCAGCTTGAGGAAACTTTCAGTGAAGTTGGACCTGTTAGGCGTTGCTTCATGGTAACACAAAAAGGGTCTACTCAACATCGCAGTTTTGGTTATGTCCAATTTGCTGTTGAGGCAGACGCTAACAGTGCCATTGAGCTGAAGAACGGTTCATTGGTTGGTGGCCGAAAAATTGCAGTGAAGCACGCAATGCCCCGTCCTCCCCGTGAAAATAGAAGATTGAAACCATATCAAGAGGGCAAGGACAATGATCTCACAGATTCAAAAAATGATGATAAAGACAGTTTATTACCTGTAGCAGAGAAACCTGTTCCAGTTCTAAAGGAAGAAGAAGGGACAATTTTGAATAAACAAAAAAATTCAAGGAAGCCTGTGGAAATTAAAAAAAAGCAGCTCTTTGTAATAATGTAGCAGATGAGGGGGGTGGCTCAGAAAAGCAGAGGGTTGCTAGAACAGTTATATTTGGTGTTCTCATGAATTTTGCCATGGCTAAAGATGTTCACCGTCAAGCCAAAGATATTGGCACTGTGTGCTCTATTAAGTCTCTCTCTCTCTCTCTCTCTCTCGAGTGTTAAAATCATAAACCATACTATCGGTTAAGTATCTCACCGACGGCGAAGGGTTTTAGGGTTTCAAAATGAAAAACCTAAACCTCTTCCGTGAGGTTCCTTTCATTCTCCGATTAACCTCCAACGACGAAACTTTTCGATTCGCCGCCTTAGATATCGAACGCAACCGTCTCTTCTTCCTCTCGTCCCACAATTTCATCTACACTTACCATCTATCTTCCTTCCATGATAAAGAAGCTTGGAGTAATGCCTCATTGTTATCTACGGATTATGGCAGCGTTGATCTCGAACCCGATGACAGTGTTACTTCTTTTGATTATCTTATGGAGAAAGAAGCGCTTCTTCTCGGAACTTCCAACGGGCTTTTATTGCTTTATGATGTTGACGCTAACACAACTCAAGTTGTTGGTAACTTGGATGGTGGTGTCAACTGCATTTCCCTTAGTCCTGATGGTGAACTTCTTGCTATAATTACTGGTTTTGGTCAGATTTTGGTTATGACTCATGATTGGGATTTGTTGTATGAAACACCACTTGTTGTTGATGATGATGTTCCTCAAGGCCATCACATAAATGGAGAAAACTTTTTGGAGGGTGGGTTTGAGCAACATCCGATATCTTGGCGAGGAGATGGAAAGTACTTTGCTACGATGAGCGTGTGTAGTTCTACTTTTTTGCGGAAACTTAAGGTTTGGGATCGAGATTCAGGGGCATTGCTTGCTTCTTCGGATGAAAAAACTTTTGCTGGAGCAGTTTTGGAGTGGATGCCCAGTGGTGCTAAAATTGCAGCTGTATATGACAGAAAAGCTGAAAATGAATGCTCTTCAATTGTTTTCTTTGAGAGGAATGGTTTGGAAAGAAGCAAGTTTAGTGTTGGTGAAGGAGTTAATGCAAAAGTAAAATTTCTGAAGTGGAATTGCAGTTCTGATCTTCTTGCGGGTGTTGTAGAATGTGAAAGTTATGATGCTATAAAGATATGGTATTTTAGCAACAATCATTGGTACATGAAGCATGAAATTAGATACTTGAAGCAAGATGAAGTCAGGTTCATATGGAATTAAGAAAAACCTTTGCAGTTGATTTGTTGGACTCTTGGTGGTCAGGTTACAGTTTACAACTTTGTTTGGATCACAGATGTTATGGACAATTCCGTTGCACTAGTCATTGATGGCTCCAATATTCATGTAACACCACTTTCCTTATCTTTAATGCCACCTCCTATGTATTTATTTAGTCTAAAATTTTCTTCCCATGTACGGGGTATGGCTGTATATTGTAAAAACTCCAAGAACAAGTTAGCTGCATTTCTTTCGGATGGTAGTTTATGTGTTGTAGAGCTTCCATCAATTGAAACCTGGGAAGAACTAGAGGGGAAAGAATTCAGTGTTGAAGCCTCTCATACTGAAATGGTGTTCGGATCCATATTACATCTTGTATGGTTGGATTCACATAAGCTGTTATCTGTTTCACATTATGGTTTTAGTCACAACAATGACTTATTTCAAACATCACTCAATAAGGATGCACTTCCAGGCTTCTTTTTGCAGGAAATAGAACTTGAATGTTCTGAGGATATTGTTCCAGGATTGCTGACATGTTCTGGCTGGCACGCAACAGTTTAAAAAAAAAATACCCTTAAAGAGCTTGTTATTGGCATTGCTCCAAACCCTGCTAGTAAATCTTCAGCATTTATGCAGTTTTCTGAGGGTAAAATCAAAGAGTATTTATCAAAAGTGGGGACTGGTGGTGGATCTCAAGAGCAAGAATTTCAAGGATTTTCCATAGTCTGCCCTTGGATGGGTGTAGCGTTGATCGGAAGTGTTGGCCAATCAAAACCAGTGCTTTTTGGACTGGATGAGATTGGCAGATTGCATACTAGCGGGGGTATAGTGGTTTGCAACAACTGCAGCAGTTTTTTCATTTTACTCAAATTTGGCAGACCAAGTAATAACACATCTAATTCTTGCAACTAAGCAAGATCTTCTTTTTATTGTTGACATCTTTGATATATTTAATGGGGAGCTTGACTTAAAGTATGGAAATTTCATCCGCAGTAACAGCAGAAAAAAGGAAGAAAATGAAAACTACATACATATATGGGAGAAAGGTGCTAAAATTGTTGGGGTTTTACATGGAGATGAAGCTGCCACTATAGTGCAAACTACTTGAGGAAACCTAGAATGTATATACCCTAGAAAATTGGTTCTGGTTTCTATCATTAATGCCTTAACTCAAAAGCGATTTAGAGATGCGTTACTCATGGTCAGGAGGCATAGGATAGATTTCAATGTAATTGTTGATTATTGTGGCTGGCAAGCATTTTCACAATCTGCTTTTGAATTTGTCAGGCAGGTCAACAATCTGGGTTACATAACTGAGTTTGTTTGTTCCATAAAGAATGAAAATGTTATAGAGAAACTCTACAAAAATCATGTGTCCGTTCCCTGTTTAGAGGTTGCTAATGTTATGCTTGCTGGAGCCCTTGAAAATTGTAATGCTGATAACAAGGTTTCTTCGATTTTGATGGCCATAAGGAAAGCACTTGAGGAACACTTTACAGAAAGTCCTGCAAGGGAGATTTGCATATTAACCACTCTTGCTCGGAGTGAGCCTCCGTTACTTGAAGATGCTCTAAAGAGAATAAAATCCATTCGTGAAAAGGAGTCGTCTCATAGCTGTTGATTGGGCTGTTCCAAAAAAGATATTTAGTAGTGATGCCAATGATGGTCCCGCTTCAGAGGAAGGACAACAAAAGGCGTCAGATGAAGATGGTAGTACTACTACAGATGATGATGTTGAGGATACCAACAAACAATCTGATGAAGGAGATGATAGTGATATTGATGGTGTAGTGGAGGAAGATGTTCCTTCTGAAGATGATTTTGACAAGGAAGCAGACATTGCAAGAAAGGTTCTTAACAATTTGATTACATCCTCCTCTGCTAGAAATGCATCTGTAAATACGGATTCTATGTGTTTCGAAGAAAATAAGGAGCCAAAATCTGAGGAAACTGTTAAGGATGCCATTAGTGAAGCGCCTAAAGAGTCTGACAAAGTTTTAGCTACTTCTAAGTCTGAGACTTCTAGCAGGTTATCTAACCCTAAGGAAACAGAAGATGATCTGCAAAGAACAATTTTTATAAATAATCTTCCCTTTGAATGTGATACCGAAGAAGTGAAGCAACGATTTTCTGCATTTGGAGTAGTAGAATATTTTGCTCCTGTTCTCCACCAATTGACCAAGCGTCCACGAGGAACTGGTTTTCTTAAGTTTAAAACCGTTGAAGCAGCTAATGCTGCAATTTCAACTGCCAATGCTGCTTCTGGGATGGGTATTTTAGTGAAGGGTAGACCATTAAAAGTTTTGAAAGCTCTGGACAAGAAAACAGCTCATGACAAGGAACAGGAGAAAGAAAAAAACGAGGTTCATGACCACCGCAATCTTTACTTGGCAAAGGAGGGACTTATTCTTGAGGGGACTCCAGCTGATGAAGGAGTTTCAGCCAGTGATATGGCAAAACGCAAAGAGTTAGAAAGGAAAAAGAAGTCAAAGCTTCAATCTCCAAATTTTCATGTTTCAAAAACTAGACTTGTTATCTACAACTTACCTAAGTCAAAGACTGAAAAACAACTAAAGAAGCTTTGCATTGATGCAGTCATCTCTAGAGCTACCAAGCAAAAACCGGTGATTCGACAGATAAAGCTTTTGAAAGATGGAAGGAAAGGAAAGGCTACTCAAGAACAGTATTCCCGGGGAGTCGCCTTTCTTGAATTTTCAGAACACCAGCATGCCCTTGTTGCATTGAGAGTTCTTAACAATAATCCTGAAACTTTTGGTCCTGAACATCGGCCTATCGTGGAGTTTGCTCTTGATAATGTTCAGACATTGAAACTTCGGAAGGAAAAGCAAACAATATCAGCAGCAGGCTCCTTATGATAACAACAACAGAAACGAAAATGATAAATACAACACGGGAGGAGGTTACACACATGGAAATGACAGAAAACGAAAATCTCAAGAGCATGTGAAACCCACAAATGAGAGAAAGCACCGGCAGTAAAGTCGCAGCCAGAGACAGAATGCAAGGTCGAATACCGGCCGTCGTTTTCTTCCAGAACCTTCTTGATAAAACCCCTGACTCACGATCCACGTTAAGGAAACATTTACTCACCGTCGAGAAGAAGCAGATTAAGGCAGTGCTCAATTCCATTGAAGCACCGTTCTTCTGTTCCACCCGTTTTCCGCTCCAGATTCGTGCTGGATCCGGATCCACCCATTTGCTTGAAAGAGGAACCGTGTTACCTATCAAGATTCATAAGGATAAAGAGAGTGGGAATATTTTGAACTTGGTGTTTGTTTGGGCTGAAGATGGAACGAATTTGAAGGTTGATGTTCCTGTTGTTTTCAAAGGTGAAGATGTTTGCCCCGGTCTACAGAAAGCCTTATAGCATACTGTTGCTGCGAAGATGTGAGCATATGTACCTCATGGAGGTAATGGAGGCATGTGTTGCTTTGTCTTGAATTTAGTTTTAAGGAAGATTGATTGATTAACTTGAATTTCTGTTAATTAACTTTGCTAATTATTTTTAATTAACTTGATTATTCAGTTTAGTTGGATAATTTTGATAATTAAATTTAACTAGCTTAATTAATTGATTGATCTAATTTTAATTATTTAACTTTATTAATCAATTTTAATTAATTTAATTATTTAATTTAATCGAATAATTTTAATAATTAATTCGGATTAGTATAATTAAATGATTTAATAAACCTTGATCAATTTGACTTTTATTGGATAAGACCGGGTCAATACCATTATGCCACTAGAAGTTCTTACACATCAGATGGGTTCCACGGCGCTACGACATACATTTATTCGGGTAAGTTCGGTTTATATATTTCATTATCTTCCATCTCCATTCAAATATTGTACCCTAATTCCCAAAATGTAATAATTTCTTTGAACACTTTTATTTTATTTATACTTTAATACTTCAAAACCATTTTTTCAAAATAAATTCTCGATTTATCGAGTCATATTCTACCTTTGTAAGTCGAGTGCTTTCAAAGCCTCACCATCAACCTTTTGGTCACAGACACAACATTTTAAATCTTAATCCTGGGCTTCCTTACACTGATACCTATTTGATCAATTATTTCTAATTGGTCACTTAGAAGACTAGCCCACTTTGCTAGTGCACACGTTAAAACGCAAGTTTAAATCTCAAGCATTTTCTCAAATCATCTTCAAAGTTATTTGATTAAAAGAGAGGTTAGAGTCTTCTATTCTCTCTCTCAGTTCACTTGTCCAATTGTTTAAGTGTGAGGAGTCTTCTTCATACTTAAACAATTATTTTCCTGAAAAACCTTAAGTTGTTTCACGCAATTTTCAAACCTTGATTCATATCAAGCAATTTTCTTCAAATCAAACTAAAATACTTAATAAATATTTAAACACAATTTCAATAAAAGATGAAAAAGAGAGAGTTCCAAGTCTTTGGTTCACTCTCCCAATTGTTTGGGTCCGAGAAGTCTTTCTTAAGCTCGAACAATTGTCTTCTAAAAAACCCTTCTAACGATAAATTTATTCAAACCTTTTCTAAACACCCAGGATGAAAAAGAGAGTGTTCCAAGTCTTTGGCTTGCTTTCCCGATTATTTAAAATTCAAGAAGTCTTTCTTGAGCTTTGAACCATTGTCATCCGATTAATACACTCTAATCATATTAAATATCTTTTATATATTAGATGAGAAAAGGAGAGAGCTCCAAGTCTTTGGTTCACTCTTCCGATTATTTGAGGTCCGAGAATTCTTTCTTAAGCTTCGATTAATCCTCATCTGTTAAAATACTTTAATTACATACTATCTTTCGAGTGCCATTCAAACAATTCCTTTTGCGATGAAAAAGAAAGTGTTCCAAGTCTTTGGTTCGCTTTCCCGATTACTTGGGTCCGAGAAGTCTTTCTCAAGTTCCGAGTAATCGTCATCCGATTCACTCACTCGTACCCAATTCCATTAACACTTAGATGAAAAAGAGAGAGCTCCAGGTCTTTGGTTC